CAGAAGAGACACACTTGCACAGACCTGGGTGAGCTCACAAGCTATCTTGGCTTGCGGATCACCCGGGATAGAGCAGAGCGCACCATTACCTTGACTCAGTCACACATGGTGCAGCAGGTCCTTCAACGCTTCGGCTGCACGTACTCCTCGCCACAGTCCACTCCTCTGCCTACCGGTCACTCGCTCTCAGCTCCACCTTCGGACGAGTCCGTAGAGCCGAGTGGCCCGTATCCAGAGCTTGTGGGCTGCCTCATGTACCTGATGACTTTGCACACGACCTGGCCTCGCATACCCTCTCAGCCTTCTGGCTCGCTACGTGGCTCCCGGCAGGCACCAAAAGGTGCACTGGGATGCTGCGAAGAGGGTGTTGCGATACTTGTGCAGTACATCGGGCATGGGGCTCGTGCTTGGAGGACGGGCTCGAGTTGTCCTCACTGGTCACGCTGACGCCTCCTGGGTTGACGACTTGGCTACGCAGCGGTCGTCACAGGGTTACACCTTCAGCCTTGGCTCCGGTTCTGTCTCCTGGCGGTCTACCCGCTCTTCTTCTGTTCTCAGCTCCAGTTGTGAGGCTGAGATCTACGCTGGGGCCATGGCTGCACAGGAGCTTCGCTGGCTCACCTACCTGCTGACCGACTTGGGAGACGCGCCTCGTTCTCCTCCGGTTCTGTACGTCGACAACAAGGCCATGCTGGCCTTGTGTCAGGAGCACAGACTGGAGCACAGAACGAAGCACATTGCTCTGCGCTACTTCCTTGCTCGAGAGTTGCAGCAGCGTGGCCAGCTTCGTCTTCCTTACGTGGCCTCTCAGGCCAACACTGCTGATGTCTTCACCAAGGCACTTCAGCCTTGTGATCATCAGCGTTTCTGTACTGTGTTAGGCCTTGTACCTACTGTGCCTTACTTGTTGACTTCTTGACTCTGCTTGTATTGTACTCTATATACTTATACCTGCATGCTTACACTTGCTAGGTTGTGTTCACTGTATTGTTTGGCTTCCTTTATATAACTCTGCATGTGAACTGGCCTTCTGGCCCTTTGCTTGTGCTCAGACTGTGTGGTGACTTTGTGATCCACCCTGAGTTTGCTTTGTCTTTCTTGACTGGTCTTGTGACCCCTTGTTCTCCCCCACTTTGCCTATGGGGGTGTGTCAAACATATATTTACTATAGTCGGTCTAGGCTGTAGTGGGGTAGTCCTTAGAGGGTACAAAACTTATGTGTTTCCTACTTGTACCCTTCTCATTTCCTAATTCAATCATTCTTTTGTCTATCATTCTCACAGAAACCATCCCCCCGACTTCACTAGTTGGAAAGAACCAAATGTGGGCATTCTTAAGGTAACCCCTCTCGAGCCGTACTCAGAGTAGTGCAGCCAACTTTCACCCAAAAGCCCGAGTAAGGGAAAGCTGTAACTCTGAGTTAGTTTGCCCGTGAAAGAAGATTCGGTGCATGCTTCCTACGAAGCGTACTCAGAGTTATAACTTTGCGTATTTGGAACCCATATTTGCTAACTCAGAGTTAGCTAGCACGGTGTGATTGTAACGTACACACGTGTGAGGGTTGAGTTAATGAAGCCACCACGAACCCTGTTAACTCTGAGTTAAGGGGCCACAGAACAAGGCCATTGTATTACTTCGCTTCATCGCTTTGAACCGCCACCTACCAGACGCGAACTTTGCAGTGTATGTGTACAGAAAGGAAAATCGTGTGGAGAATGGGCGACTCTTCAAATCTGATGATGTGGCGGACACTGTACAGCATTGCACCTTGCTTACACTGAATGGCTACGATTTCATGGTCGCTCTTTTGTCCTCAGCCGGAGTGCATCTTCAATGCTGATATGGGCTGACCCCACTGGGATCGATCGAATTTCATTGGCACGATGTGTAGTTTGCTCCTGCCACCGTGTCACTGCTGGATTTTAGCGCGGAGCTGAGCGATGATTTTCGGTCGCTCAGTTGTCGTCAGCACAGTCCAAAGGCAGCTTCGCACGCTCAATTGCGATGGTTCCTTTGGCAACGCTGTGCTGTGTTGTGACGTCAATAAACCAGCCTCGGCTACACTTCCGAGCCTCAGATTCCCGCATTTTCGCCCACGGGGATGTACTGTACGCTGTACGCAAACCTGAGCCAAATTCGTGCGGCAACGCGCTTCGGTTGTGGTTTGTGTGCCCGAAATTGTGAGTGAACTTTTCGACAATGAGGCCGCCTTCCATGTCAAGCTTCTTGAAGCAGCGCTCTGGATGACGGCCACTTTGTTATATGGGTTACTAATCTGCGGACATTGTTCATCCTCGCAGCGCTTGCTCGCTGACGCATGGTTCTCGTCGTCACACACGCGACTCGTTAAAACAGTGCAAAAACACTGATACAATGCTGAAACGCGCCGTCGAAGGGCTCAACCCCTGCCTCAAGCCTTTGGGAAGTTGGAGACCCAAAATTTATGCTAGGGCAGCATTCTTCGAAGGACAAGTGGCAGTCACAAGTGGCACTCACAATTGGCAGTCACAAGTGGCAGTCGATTTAGGGTGGGTGTGGCAAAATTTGGACGTGGACTTTTGAACAGTTCACTAAGCAACGGAAGATCTTGTAGCGGGCCCTGGTTGAAAATAATTGGTAAAACTCGACTCCGTCCCTCAACAACCCGCACCCCCCCTCCCCCTTCACACCCACCCTTCCAACAATTTTCCCTGCGAGATTTTCCGCACTTCATTATTTTCCAAGTGGCAGCGTGCTAAGGGTCGCAATCAAAAGTAAGTGTCTCGGAGAATGGACTGGAATGCGGTACAGAATCTGGTGTTAAATTCTTGAAATATTATCTTCCAAAAGTTACCCTATAAATTGTGTTTGACATCAACCAAAGCTGCTGCAATCCACAGCCCGCTCTATGCTGCTGACACACAGCTGAAACGTGTGGTGCTGTTAGAAATCCGTCCGCTCCATCCTCCCCTTGGGGCAAGGTGGCTCAGAGTCCTCACAGGCAGGGAGATGGAAACAGCCGCGAAGTATAACGGCCCAAATAAGAAAAACCCGCCAAGTCAGCCGCTCATTCAGCTCCAAACCAAGGTTAGGGTTCCAATTCGCTCGTTACGAGCCACGACCAGAAAGTTGGTTCGCTTCAACTCTGTCCCGATGCTGAGGCGTGGCGTACAGAACGAGGTTACTTGTAAACCACATGTGTTCACTGGGGAGAACTAAATATTACAGAAATTAGCTTTTCAAACTCTAGCTCACCATTTTTCAGCCGCGATTTTGTACCAACTACTCTCAATCCAAGGACCCTGGAGTTTTCGCCATCACCATTCGCCCCCGACGCCATCCATCATCTCGCTTCCATCCACGCCCCCGCCCCCCGCCCAGCCTACCTATCTAACTCCAGAGGTAAGCCTTGTTACGTCAAGGCCCGGCCCAAACTTATTGATTTTCGGTCGTTTTGCTAACTTCTTTTTCCAGATCTGAGTATATTCTAACTAAGTCGTTTTGACCTTTGCAGGACATCAAGTGCAAGTCAAGAACGCTGAATCACGCACCCGTTGGAGCTCCAACACGACTTTCAACCCGCCATCACACCGCCCTCCGCCCAGCCTACCTTCCAAGCTCCAGAGGTAAGATGGCTTACCTTTCAAGTTAGTTTTTGAACCTATGGCCGTTTCGCACGCCTTCTTTCAGATTGTTCAGTTTTGAGTAATGTCTAACTTCGATTTGTTTAATCCTTTGCAGGATGCCAAGTTGGAGTAAATAATGTTCCTGTTCCTTCTCAAGAAGTTCAACGGTCAGCGTTCTCCCGTTCAACGTTATCCCGTTCAACACTTCAACGTTCTCCCGTTCGTGCGGAGGCATGGCTTCAACTCTTCTCTCGTGTGACGGGCGACCTATAAGGGACACGCGCGACTGCTTCGGCGCGACTGATCGGGAAGAGCCCTTTCCTCCTTTCTCCTTCCACCACTTGTTCCTTCGTTTTTTCGTTTCGCAATCCGTCACTCCGCCATTCGTGTTTTTCGACGTTTTCCACCGTTCCTCTGACGGAAGGGCTGCAGTTCGGAGATGATCCTCAGCGGGTCGGGTTTGGGGTTTGGGTAGCATATGTTCTCCTCCCTCTTCTGGCTGCAGCCTAAGCGTCACGAACGTTCCACCCCGTGTTCGTTTCTTGTCGGTTTTTCCATTTCGTTGGTCTTGGTTTTTCATTTTCTATTTTGCATTTCGTTTGTCTTTGTTTTCTCTTGTCTTTCATCTTCTGTCCTTTTTACTAACTTTGTGCTCTTGTACATCTTGTGTTCTCTCCCTGCCTTTCAGGAATCTTGACTTGCGCTTGTGGGGCTTCAATCGAGAGTTCTCCTGGGACTTCAACACTTCTCCCGTGTGGCGTGCGACGGGCGCGACTGCTTTGCCGTCGACTCCAACGGATCGGGAAGTGTCGTTCCCTTCCCTTCCTTTCACTATTTTGTTGTTGTTTCGTTCCGCAATCATAGCATCTCGCCACTCCGCCATTTGTGTTTTTCGACGTTTTCCACCGTTCCTCTGACGCGAGGGCTGCAGTTAGGAGATGATCCTCCGTGGGTCGGGTTTGGGGTTTGGGTAGCATAGGTTCTCCTCCCTCTTCTGGCTGCAGCCTAAGCGTTACGAACGTTCCATCCCCATTCATTTTCATTTTCGCATTCGTTGTTCTCTTTTGTTTTCTAATTCTCGATTTCCGTTCACTAACTTTGTGCTACTGTTTGTGTTTCTTTTCAGGAACAACGGATTCTTTGTAGCGGAGCTTCTGTCGCGGAGGCAACAATGCAGCGAAGCTTCAGACGCAGAGGCAACAAGGCAACACAGCAGACGACGCAGCAGACGACACAGCAAAGCTTCAACCATGAACTCTTTACTTACTTTCAGCCTTGTTGATTTTGTTTTATGCCATGTTTTACGTTTGACGTTTGACGTTATATGTGTTTAATGTGCAGATCAACCCCTTTAGCGCGGCGGACCATCTCCTTAGGCACGGCGGATAAACCTTGTCACGGCAGCAGCAGCGGATCAACCTCTTCACGGCAGCAGATGACAACCCCTTCACGGCAGTAGATGACAACCCCTTCACGGCAGCAGATGACAACCCCTTCACGGCAGCAGATGACAACCCCTTCACGGCAGCAGATGACAACCCCTTCACGATGTAGCAGATGAAGCAGGACAACGGTAGCAGGACAACGGTAGCAGGACAACGGTAGCAGGACAACGGTAGCAGGACAGCGGTAGCAGGACAACGGTAGCAGGACAACGGTAGCAGGACAACACCGACGACGCAGCAGATGTAGCAGATGGTGGTTGCAAGAGAGCAAATCAGTCAAATCAGCAGCCGCACTGAGTCAGCCGTACTGAAGCAGCCGCACTGAACCAGTCGCAAATCCGTGAAGGGAGGAGACTAGGGGGGGGGAAGCGGCGAAAACCTTTGGCAGAGCGGTGGCGAGGGGTTGACTGGGATGGTGGGTGGCGTGGAGAGACAAAAAGCAACTGAGTGTGCATGCACAGGCCATTCACGGCAGCAGCACCTTTAAGGGTCTTCACGGCAGCAGCAGCTTTAAGGGTCTTCACGGCAGCAGCAGCTTTAAGGGTCTTCACGGCAGCAGCAGCTTTAAGGGTCTTCACGGCAGCAGCAGCTTTAAGGGTCTTCACGGCAGCAGCAGCTTTAAGGGTCTTCACGGCAGCGGCAGCTTTAAGGGTCTTCACGGCAGCAGCACTTTGAGCGCGGATCAACCTTTGAGCGCGTCTCAACCTTTGAGCGCGGATCAACCTTTGAGCGCGGATCAACCTTTGAGCGCGGATCAACCTTTGAGCGCGGATCAACCTTTGAGCACGGATCAACCTTTGAGCGCGGACCAACCTTTGAGCGCGGACCAACCTTTGAGCGCGGATCAACCTTGAGCTTTAAGGGACTTCACGGCAGCAGCAGCTTCATTGGTGTTCACAGCAGCAGCAGGTCTTCACGGCAGCAGAAGCTTCATTGGTCTTCACGGCAGCAGCAGGTCTTCATGGCAGCAGCAGCTTTAAGGGTCTTCACGCCAGCAGCAGCTTTAAAGGTCTTCACAGCAGCAGCAGGTCTTCACGGCAGCAGAAGCTTCATTGGTCTTCACGGCAGCAGCAGGTCTTCATGGCAGCAGCAGCTCTAAGGGTCTTCACGCCAGCAGCAGCTTTAAAGGTCTTCACGGCAGCAGCAGGTCTTCACGGCAGCAGAAGTTTCAACGATCTGCAAGCGCAAGTGCGGACGGGATCTGTTAGCAGCGCAAGTGCCACCCCTTCAACGGCAGCAGCAAACCACCTCTTCAACGGCAACCCCTTCAACGGCAGCGGATGAAAACCCCTTTAACGGCAGCGGATGAAAACCCCTTCACGACGCAGCCCCTCATGACGCAGCAGATGTAGCAGATGTAGCAGGACAACACCGACGACGCAGCAGTTGTACCAGACGCAGCAGACGGTGGTTGCAAGGGAGCGAATCAGCCAAAACAGCAGCCACACTGAATCAGCCGTACTGAAGCAGCCGCACTGAACCAGCCGCGAATCCGTGAAGGGAGGAGACGAGAGGGGAGAAGCGGCCCAAAACCTTTGGCAGAGCGGTCGCGAGGGGCTGACTGAGATGTTGGGTGGCGTGGAGAGACAAAAAGCAACTGAGTGTGCATGCTCAGGCAAAGAGGCTGTGGCATACGTTGCTCGGGAAGCCTCAAGGGGATTTGTGATGGAGTCTGGTCTTGATCAGCATGGTTCTGACTGCAGCAGAATCATGCTCGCAAGATACCACACACTCCAGGTAGCAATTCCCTTGGGGTGCCTCGGGCATCACAAGTTTTTCCTCACTGGCGTGGGTGAGGAGAACTTGATGTCACTGACTTTTCCACACTGGCGTGGGTGTGGAGGGTCCTTTCCCTCTTGGTGCCTTTTGAATCTTACGCTACTCGCCGAACAGTCATTTCCTCAAATCCGTGATGCTGAGGAGGGGGTGAAGAAGTGGGGAAGCTGCTGTTAAGAGAGGAGGGAAGCTGCTTAGGGCTGCTAACGAAGCTGCTTAGGGCTACTAACGAAGCTGCTAAGGAAGCTACTAAGGAAGCCGCTAAGGGGTGCTAAGGAAGCTGATAAGGGCTTCTAAGGAAGCTGCAAAGGAAGCTGTAAAGGGCCGTTGCCCTTCTAAGGGGAGAAGGGGTGAAGCAGCAGAGAAGGGGTGAAGCAGATAGGCAGGCGGGGTTCTACGGAGGTTTTTAGCCGAGGCAGTACCCTGCTTTGAGGGTCTCGGTCCGTCGGCAAACCCATCAAGGGGGAGCTGACGGGACGGATTTTTTTCCTCCCACACCAAAAAAAAAAAAAAAAAAAACAGAAGGTGAAGCAGATAAGGGGTGAAGGAGAGAAGGGGTGAAGGAGAGAAGGGGTGAAGCACAGAAAGGGGTGAACCAGGTAAGGGTAGAAAGTTAGAATTGGTGAAGTAGAGATGGTGTGAAGGAGATGGGGTGAAGCAGAGTTGGGGTGTAGCAGAGATCGGGTGAAGGAAAAAGGGTGAAGCAGAGAAAGGGAGAAGCATAGAAGGGGGTGAAGCAGAGAAGGGGGAAAGCAGAGAAGGGGGTGAAGCAGAGAAGGGGTGAAGGAGAGAAGGGGTGAAGGAGAGAAGGGGTGAAGCACAGAAAGGGGTGAACCAGGGAAGGATAGAAAGTTAGAATTGGTGAAGTAGAGATGGTGTGAAGGAGAAGGGGTGAAGCAGAGTTGGGGTGTAGCAGAGATCGGGTGAAGGAAAAAGGGTGAAGCAGAGAAAGGGAGAAGCATAGAAGGGGGTGAAGCAGAGAAGGGGGAAAGCAGAGAAGGGGGAAAGCAGAGAAGGGGGAAAGCAGAGAAGGGGGTGAAGCAGAGAAGGGGGTGAAGCAGAGAAGGGGGTGAAGCAGAGAAGGATCTTGGGGGGTGAAGCAGAGAAGGGGTGGAAGCAGAGAAGGATCTTAGGGGGTGAAGCAGATGGATGGATGAACAAAGAATTTGCAGTGCCTGCCAACTCAAGGCAGATCTGTGGTGTGCACTGGAGGGATGTGCAGTTGTGTGGTGTGCACTGGAGAGTGGTGCAGTTGTGTGGTGTGCACTGGAGAGGTGCAGTTGTAGTTGATGCTTACAATATACGATGGGTTTGGCTTGCTACTGATTAATTATTGTATCGTATGTTCTCTACGTGAATAATCATTATCTTTATTTCCAACATGAGTACATTTAAATGTAGGCACTGCAGCATATACGGTACAGATGCTTGCATGCAAGATGACTTCCCTCGAGGTCTTAGGAGTGCGGCAGACTGCTTGGGAAGCAGGAGGCCATCGCATAGTTGGATTGTTGGTGTGCTGTGGATAAGGTTGGGAGGGACCAGGTTGTAACTTTCCAGACCAAAATGGTCTTTGCCTTTATATACAGATCAGATCTGAATCTTCAGACAGGGTAATATCAGTAGTACTGGCCAGATCCCTCTTACTTTTGTCGCGTATCGTACCTACAGGCTGGAATTTCCTTTCTGGCAAGTATTTCAAACACAGCACCAACTACCGTATGTACGTTACCCTGTGCTAGCGCGATGAATACATTGATAACCGAAATTGCAACATGTTTTGGAGGCAATTGTCACCTCTCTGGAAAGTAGGTGCAACAGATTGGTATGGTTAAAAGGGCGGGGTTTATCATAAGTGCATTGCTGCAAAGCATATTGTTGGGTACACATGAGCTCATGATATTTCGTGAACAGATAGGATGGGGTGAGGAAAAACATTCCTGTTTGTGGGGAGCATATTCACAAACATGCTAAGAACACTTCTTTTAATCTGCTCCTTGACACAAGCCATCCCCACCGAAAAGGTAACCACCAAGCAACACGCCAGTCAGGCACGCCACTAATCCACAGGCACATCATCCCCACATTCTGCTCTCCCTTGCTGCACATGTGCCATGCCTCTCAGCTTCCTGAGCAGCCCCCTCACCTCATGATCCGCCCTCACCCCTTTCACCCGCATCTCCTCCTCTACCTCCCTCGCCGCCTCCTCCCACCTCCCCCCACCGCTACCCTCCCCATCTCCTCCTTCCCCCTTCCCTGCATGCATCTCAGCGCGTCGCAGCATGGCCCCTACCAGCATCTTGTACCAGGCCACTTCACAGCGGCCCCACATGGCCTCGCCTGCCTGAATCGCCTGCCTCACGCCCTCCACGTGCCCCTCTGCCTTGAGTGCCTCCATCAACCCCCGCAGCGTGCGCCGCTTGATGGCGGCTGGGAGGGTAGAGGGGTGTGAGCCGTGGTGGCGAGGAGAGTCCGAGGGAAGAGCGTGGCAAGGAGTTGCAGGAGGAGGCATGCGCTGACGCACGGACCCAACCAGGGATTCGGGATTAAAAGGAGAGCTCCATGGCTTGGTGGTGGCAGGAGGATCAAGGGTTACATGGGTGTCAACAGGGGTGACCAGTTGATTGAGGAGGGCGGTGGCATGGGAGAGGCGTTGGGAGAGAGAGAGGCAAGAGAGGAGAAGGGAGAGAGTGGCCGTGCCGCAAGGAACGTTTGCCCTGCGCATGTCATCGACCAATCGCAGCGCAGCATCTGGCATGTTTGCTCGCGTGTACCCCTTGAGAAGCGCGTTACAGGCATCCAGGTCCAGGCGACGAATGGAGGCACGCAGAGAGGAGAACGCCTCTTCTGCCATGGCTATGTCCCCAGCTGCCACATGCGCTGCTATGCGCGCCACATGCATGGGTCGAGTCACCCTCACCCCCATCCCACCCACCCTCCTCCACATCCCCTCCACCTCCCCCCCACGGCCCCCCTTCCCTGCCCGCCCCATCGCCATCCACAACGCAGCGCAAGCAGTGGAAGACGGTGCCAAGCCATCCCCCAGCATGGCGTGGAAAGATTTTTCTGCCCGAGCCAGCTGCCCAGTGTGAAGGAACACTCGGAGCAGGATGGAGTGGGTTTGGGCGGAGGGCAGCAGGCGGTGGTGGTGATGCATGGCGTGCAGGAGGGCGTCGAGGCGGTCAGGAGAGGACGTGGGTGCGTGAGGAGGGTGGTGCAGGCAGTGGCGCAGCAGAATGTGGAAAGAGAAGAGGGACGGGGTGATGCCCTGCAGACACAGGCATGTGCATGGGATAGGGAAGCGGGAGTGGAAGGAGGTGAGATGGAGAACAAGGGTCCACACATAGAGAAGCCACATGTGAGATGAAAAAGGCTGTAGCTAGCAAGAAACCATAACTCACGGCCGCAGCATTGACCAGCGTTGACCAGCTTTGACCCAGCCCCTGATCACATTCTCTCCATTGCCATCTTCAATCACCCTCATGCCCTTCCCCGTCATAAACCCCCATCCTCGCTCACATTCCCCCTCCGCCCCCTCCACTCACCTTCACCCTCATCTCTTCCATCACATCATCCATCCTCTGTGTCACTGAATCAGACGACGCTAGACGCGACGGCAGGGAGGAGAGGGCGAGCAGGCGCGCGTTGAAGGAGCTCACACCCAGCGCCGCCCCTGCTGTCTCATGCAGCCACTGCAGCTCCTCCTGCACTCTGCTGTGCTGGCCCGTGCGCGCCAGGTGGTACAACACTCCACTGTACGCCTGACGAGGATAGAGAGCAGTGAGAGGAAAAGCAGGGATGAGAAAGGGGGATGAGAATCAAGAAGTAAGACCGAGAATTGAGCAGGAACAACAAGGTATGTATGTCTAGGGATGAACAAGCACAAAAGTAGCTCAGCACAGTATAAGCATCGTGAGCATGTGGAGCACCTTGTCAGAGCGGGCGTGGCGTGGCAGAGCAAGGAAGGCGTCTCTGGCGTCTCTCCATCGGCCACAGCGAGCCAGGCCGTCCATCAGCTCACACTCCTCCCACTCCGAGTCCTCCCTCTCCACACCCATCGGGCTTGACTCGCTCCCTTCCTCATGCTGACGCAGACTGTGAGGCGAGCAGTGCGAAGGGGGGCGGGCCATGTGCCATTGCAGCAGCTGACGGGGGAAGTAGGGTGAAGAAAGGGAAGATGATGTGGAGAAATGAGGGGTTGAAATGATCCGTGAGGTGCAAACATCATGATCAGACACGACGTCGTGATATGCATGAGTGCATTTGGTGCATGGCATATGAGTGAATGGGTGCATGCATGCTGGCATCACCTCGAGAGCTTGGTGGTGCCGCTGCCTCTCCTTCAGCCGCCGCACCAGCAGCATCACGAGTCGCCGATCCAACACTGCACCACTAGTACCGTTACTGCTACTGCTGCTGCTGAGACGTGCGATGCCATGGCTCGCTTGCGCAGCAATGGTGGGATTGGTGGGATGGGAGGGGGTTGTGGAAGGGAAGCGGTCCGGTGGGGGGCGCCAGGAGAGCAGGCGAGGCATGAGAGGGAGAGAGGGAGGATGGTGGCGGATGAATGACCACACGCGCTCCATAAGCTCCAATTCCTCCCTGCTCACACTCCCTCTGCCACAAATGCTGATTTCCTGCCCTGTCTCTTCATCACGCTCCCAGTCACCGCTGCTAAAGTCACTGTGATTGTCATCACCACTATGGTCAAGACCGTGACCAACTCTCTCCCCCATCTGCCCCACTGGTTGTGCAAGGGCCAGTTCAAGACCAGGCCCCGGCTCCCATCCCCCCGCCCTCTGCTGCAGGGCCAGTGTCGCATCAGCCGCTGCTTCTGCCCTACTTGCATCCCCTACTACTTTCCCTTCCTCCAATCGTCCAACCCACTCCCCCGCACGTCCGCCTTCTGAAACATTCTGTGGCTGTGACGCCTCCACGAGCTTGTGATGTGAGTGGTGTGAGTGGAAGCGTACAAGATTGCTGGGCGACGAAAGGGTGGGTGCCTGAGGCAGGGTGAGGCTGGCTGTGGGTGAGGATAATGAGGACACTGAGGATGATGAGGCGAAGGACGTTGGGGACAAGGCAGATCGACGGATGAGGAGTGAGTGTTTATGGAGGAAGTGAGGGGACGGGAGGAGGAAGCTGTGGGGTAGGAATGGTGGCTTACTGGGAGCAGGAAAGAGAGGGTTGGATGCAATGAAGAGGATGGGGTGAGTGCGGGAGCCAGGGAGAGTGTGAGGGAAGGAGAAGGGCATCCAGTAACTGCTGTCAAGGGAATCAAACCCATCAAGGGTATCTTCATCGTCTGATGCGGGCGAGGCTCGAGAAGACGCACTGCAGCCTGGCATGGGGGAGGTGGAGGCGCGTCTGAAGGCGCCACTTCCGCCACCACTTCTGCCGTTGGTGCACCAGTGGGGAAGCATCTCTCCCCAAGCGCATGACAGCCATATGCTGCAGAGAGAGAGGAGTCAACAACAGAGAGGTAAGATTCGCAGGAGTGGTAAGAGGAGTGAGTGGTTACCAGGACGGGCAAGGACTTCGGCAAGGATGCGTTCGCGTTCATTAAATTCAGTGGAACTGCAATCGCTTAAATTCAGTGGAACTGCAATCGCTTCAATTCAGTGGAACTGCAGTCGCTTCACGTCAGACAGACAGCTGCAGTCGCTTCAGATGACTGCACGTGGATTTCTGGAAAGTCCGATCACAGGAAGTGGCTTCGCACGCAAACCACCCTAAAAAACCTTCGAAAAGTTTCGCATGTTTTTTAAGCAATGCTGACACTTCATAATCATCACAGCACAGGAATGATCCGAAAGCTCCAAATGGCTGAACCTGACAAGCTGTCCGGATAAAAAAACCTAAAATAACATCGATTGAAGTCATATAAAGGGCGTGGAAGGTGGTCGAGGCGGACCTTCTCAGTTGTTGCCAGTGAGCGGGCCACGCGCGGCATAGCACTCGCCATCGCACCACCGTCGCCGCGGCTGCAGCACCTGTCGCCACCGCAGAGACCGGTGAGGCTCCACCCGACGGACGAGGGAGCGACGAGCCGTCATAAGAGTCGTTCAGGCGTGATCCATCTGGTGAAGGCGAGATGGTACATGAATCCAACGGCTGGAAATCCGCATCCGAAAGGCCTTGGAAGCGCCTCTCACTTGCGTGATCACATTGTGCGGCAGGACTAGGGTCGCGTAGAGTGACTTTCGGATCGCTGGATAACCGATCGATACTAGAATGGCCGCCATGGAAGAAAGTATTCTGACGAACTTCTGTCATCATGGGAATGGATGGTGTGAGAACATTGCAATGAGGCGAGCTTTTGTGACTCATTTCACCTCGTGCAGTAAAACCTCGCTAAAAGCTGGTCTAAGTGACAATGGAACTCTGCGATTGCACACAAGGCCCACTCCATAACTTACTGGAAAATTGTATCGGTACAGTGTTCCAGGAATTCTATTCCCACTAACATGAAGACAAGAACGTGCATTTCCACTCCATAACCCACTGCTATGCAGCACTGATCAGCTCGTGTTGCTCTCCTGTCAACTGCCATACTCTCCCAAGTTTTAGTACGTGGTTTCTTCCATTTGCCAGGCCTTCGGACTAAGAAGTGGTCTTTTATTACAAGAGATGTTTACAGGTTCAAACCAGACCAGCCATCTTCAGGCAGCACCAATGACCATTTCAAAACCAAAAAGAAAGCCAAAAGAAACTAGAAGGGCTTGAATTGAATATAATCCCTGCACAAGAAGCCCTTCGCATACAGACTAAAGAATGCTTCCACTGGAGAGTGCTTACACAAGCACAACCTCCCGGTTGAACACCCAGCTAAACTTGCCCGTTTTCGGACCCGCCTTCTTGAGCTTATCCGCTGATCGCTCGGCCAGCTTGCGGATGCGCGGCGGCAGCTTGCACACATACTCCTGCGCCCTGCGGCCGTCAGCGTCGAGCCCCTCGATCTTCTCAACGTTCCATCTGGCAATGAGGTGCTCGATGATGCTGACATAGTCATTGGCCGTGTACACGCCCGTGCGCTGTGCCACCATGGTGAACGCATCAAACAGCTTCTCATTCTCCCCGTCGTACATCAGGTGGGCGGGCATCACGATCTGGAAGGGAGAGCAAATGGGAATGGGTTGTTACCACACGACCTTATGTATCCCAGACCAGCATACACCAGCACCCAGGATGCCGCTTCCAAGGTAGCTTCTGACTTCATTGTACACTCCCGCATTAATCATCCCCCACCCCCCTTCCGTCCCAACCTCGTCCCTTCAACCATCAACATCTCAATCCCACCATAGCCAAACCCCATGAACAACAAGCACCAACAGCGAGCATCACAACTTAGGAGCCCTGGGCAATTTCTTTCACCGCGTCTACTGGTTCCATTCACATGACTCATGCGGTACACACTTGAAAAGTGTGTCCTCATCACATGACATATCTACATGCTACATACTATTCCCATATCCGGCCCATTTGAACCAAAACTTAACCGGCCAACCCAGCGTCACACCACTACACCCAGACCCCAACCTAATGCGACCTCAGCCCACGCCGCCCAGATCCCTGTCACCTGACCCCGCACCACACAGATTCCATTCCCCCCTGACCCCACCCCACCCAACTCATAACTTCCTGACGTCACCCCACCCCACCCCGTTCCTAGCACACCCCACCCCGTTCCTAGCACACCCCACCCCGTTCCTAGCACACCCCACCCCGTTCCTAGCACACCCCACCCCGTTCCTAGCACACCCCACCCCGTTCCTAGCACACCCCACCCCGTTCCTAGCACACCCCACCCCGTTCCTAGCACACCCCACCCAGATCCTCCCCACTGAACCGACGACGCGGGGCGCACCTGTTTCTTCATCATGTCTTCGAAAGCGAGCATGGCGCCGTTGGGGTCGAGCTCATACAGCTTGCCCACGATCGCCTGGTACGCGCGCTCGTGCCGCTTCTCGTCCGCCGCGATCAGCCCGCAGATGCGCCCCAGATTCTTCTCCCCCTTGAACACCGCATGCCGCGCCGTGTTGCCGTGCGAGATGGCCGTCGCGCGCTCCTGAAACGACGTGTAGAGGAAGCCCAGGTACGGGTTGTTCTCCGTCTTGGGGTCCTGCGGGCGGCGAGCATGGGAGAAGAAACGACGGCGAGGGGGACGGTTAGCAAAGACAACCAACCCAACGACGACTTCGATGACAAGGGCAAATTATTTTCCGAGGACACGACGTTCGTGGCACCAGAATGGTAAGATCTGCGGCAAAACTTCGGCGCAACGCGAGCGACGACCTACGAGCTGTCAGGATCTGCAAGCGAACGCACCATGCCGGATCCAATGAGGTACTGGATGGTCGTCTCCACGGCGCGCATGTTGACGCGGCCCGTGAGGTAGAGGTAGCGGTTGAGCAGATCGCCATGGCGATTCTCCTCCGCCGTCCACTGCCGAGTCCATATGCCCCACGGGGTCGGGCTCGCGCCCGTCTCGTCGCGCGTGCCGTCCAGCGTGTTGAGCATCGTCTGGTATGTCGGTAACGCCTCCTCCGTGATCATGTCGCCAACGAGCGAGACGAAATACTCGTCGGGTAACTCCTTCGCCCGTTCGCGCAGCTCCTTTACTTCGTCGAGGAAGCTCTCTTTTTCAGGTGACGGGAGGAAGTCAGACGGCTGCCACGCGGACTCGACGGGCTTGAGCAGCGGAAGGAGCGTCTCCTCAGCCCAGCCCTCGAGCGACTGTACGAGCTCAAGTTTCTCGGGGCTGATGGTGTGCGCCCTCTGATTGGTTACCATCTTGTGCTTCTTCGCATCGGTCGACGCGGACGGGCTGGGGGAGGAAGGCAACAGTGGGGGGAAGGAGATGGTACGGCGGATGAGGAAAGTGCAATTTACGTATCTCCAAGAAGCAGAGACTAGCGCACAAATTCTCGTTTTTCCTCGTATCAGTCTGGATGCGTATTTCTTGTATCTCCTACTCTACTACTAGTAATATCGTGAAGTGCAACGATGGGACTCACCGAGCTACAGTAGCGGTCATGGCCACCTTGCACCCATTCTGCACCCCCTGCACTCTCGCGCCGCGGAAAGACTGGCACGACCCCAAGCGGGCCGCGGCATTGGCGCTGGCGATGTTAAGAGACGCCATCTCTGCAGCTAGCGAGCCCGCCATATAATAGGATCAAGCAGGTTGATCACAGACACAAGCAACGCAAGTACCGAATGCTCACTAACTGCGGTGAGGGAACCGCAAGTGATAAAAAAGATAAGGGGGGTTGTGATATTTTCAGAAACGTTGAGGTCGGGGAGGGGTCTGTAGGTAGGAATGACCTTAGGAGGCTTTCTATCTGCCAGCCTTCCTCTCCGAATTCCTCTTCCCTAGGCGGGGGAAACTTGGTGGGGGTTGTGCCGGAGGCACTGCGCGCTTTCCGCGCTCTGTGCTGGCAAGCGATCGGGTATCTCCCCCAACCACAAGCTCCCACGTAGGAGAGGGGATTGCAGTGCGACAACGCATAGCAAAAGAGGGTCAGCGTTCCCTTGGGCTTTCCGAGACGGTTGATGCGGGAAAGATGCTGCGATCGAAACCGCTAGAAACAAGCGCGAAAATACCCACAGCCAGCAACTTTCCAGCTCCATTTCTGAAGCCAATCAGAGGACGATAATGAGTCGAGGCCACGCAATGCAATCATCAGAGTGCAGACATTCGGGGCTCTCCTGGCCTCCCGTCCGTTCGCGTGGACAGCGCACCAACGTTACGACTGACGCCGAGCACCGTCATGCTCTCGTTTCCGCTACGATGCAATATTAGTAATTATTATTTCCACGCACGACTACATTATGAGGACATATACGACTTGTATTATAGATACACGCAAGTTAGATAATTAGGCTGATTAGAAAGTGACCACTTCCTACTCATACATGCTATTTTTTTTATTATATTAAAAAAACAATTATTCATGCCAGCATATGATGCACCATGCATCCCTAGTAATATATACAAATTTATAGACCGCTGGAATGATGTTTAGTAGCAGTAAGTCTTAGTTTATGTTCTGTTTTTTCTTCCTTTTAACGGGGTGTTAATCCCAACCACAATTGCTCTGTGATGGAAGATTCTGAGGATGTGGGCTGGTTGACTCGATGCGAGACCTGCACCTGAAGACGCAGGAGGAGTCGGTCTCACATACGGTACAGCAGTGGAGACACAACGGCTGCGACTTGAGTGCAAGGTCCCACCCAGCCATTCTCACCTGCACTGCTTGCCAACAACACGAAATGTTTTATGTCAATTGCTTCGAAACAGGCCCTCGGGGATTTCTATTGCCGAACCTGATTCTCCTGCTGGGGCATGATGCCCTCACCTCAGGTACGCCTGAAGGCCTGCCACAACCAGTTTTTCCTCATGCACGCCATACCTCACGAACACGAAACATTCCCAGTGCGCGAAATGGTCAGTGGCACTCTTGGTGAGGTGGTGCACTTCTTTTTGCAAACAGACTCGAATTGTTGCGATCTTGAGATTGGTCGCCAAGAGGCACATCGACTTTTGTTGCTGTTGCCGAACCAGACCCCAGCTTTCCATCTCAAGAAGCTGCCCAATCTGCCGCAAATCTGCCCTTCCGCCACTGCGCAGCGCAACTGCCCCTCAATCGTCCCCCATGCACCACTGTCACGGTGCGCCCACCAACCCCAAGGCCGCTTTACGCTTTTATTCCGCTAACCAGGCAAGCTATCTGAGCCATGCCTCCCCTCCCGTTCCCCATCGGACCCCCCGCTTCCCGAACCTGCGCAGGTGGTGTGTGAGGGGATGCTACATTGCGCGCTGGTCCATTTACAAGGAAATGGACCAGCGATGCAAGGCGGCACCATTTTACAGGGACCACTTTCAAAAGTGGTACCCACCTGGTCCCTGCGTGGTGCCGGGGACCATTTGCGGCGGACCAGCTATGCACAGTGCATTGCAGCTTCGAAAACGAAAATACAGGTGTTCTTGGTCACCCTTGAACGAGATGTCGCAACAGGCAGTGTATTTTGGCGAAAGAGATAAAGTGCAGATTTCGCATACGATTCTCATCGCCTTGGGTCGCTCTCGAAATGGTCCTGCGGGTGGAGCCTCGTTTCTGTACGTGCGCCTCGCACTGTACATGCTGGTCTGTGGTCGGGTGCAAGTCGGGTCCATACGTGGTCCGTGCTGGTCCGCAGCTGGGATTTTCCGGGCCGCACGGGCTCGGCCTGGGCCGCTGCGGACCAGCTGCGATCTAGCGCAAATGTAACACTCCTGAGGCCCGGTATTCTCCCATAATCACATTCGCGTTCCATCCAACCAGTGCTTGTAAAGGCTTGGCGGGCAGAACTCCCCCCGGATGTCAGCTCCGCTCCGCGTCCATCATCTCCACCCAGTGCCCCTGCGCGGGTTCCTCCCTCCCCGCCGTCACCTTTTCCCAGCGATCTCTGCCCAATCGCACGCATCTCCTGCACACTGGTCCTCCAGCAGAGAATTCCTGCTTGCGCTCTTTTCGACTTTCCGTGCAACGCTTTTAACTTCTAAACTTGCATCCTAGTCAGCAGCAGCCCCTATCATCCATGAACACATGAATTGGCCACTTAGCTCGCGCGGTTTCCGCTTATTTTCCAGCCAATTTGAAGTTCTTGTCGACCATCCAGTTATAAGCCTATTCTCGCATGTGTCCGGAGCTTCTAGGGGATCTCGTAGGAGCAAAGGCGGTGGAAAGCCAGCGCGCCAGCCTGTGGGCCTCGCAGACCGCCGACCGCCAACGCGCGCCTTGTGCGGCCATGAGCGCGGCAGCTAGAGCCAACTCAACCGTCGCCTCGCACACGTCACACGGCTCCATATTCCCGCGGCCCTTCCACCTCCCGCAACCCCCGCTGATCGCGCCGCCGCACATCTCGGCGCAGCACTTCCTCTATCTCCAACAGCAGCAGCGCCGCCTGCAGCTCGTGCAATCCCTGCCCATCCCGCAACCCCTCCTCCACCAATCCTCCGTCTCCGCCGGCTCTGCGGCCGCCGCCGTTCCTCCCGCGGTCTCCGAAGCGCGGCTGCCGGCGCCGGCGTACGACTATGCGACGCACGGCGCGGTGATGACGCCGGAGCAGGTGGAGTCGCTGCGGCGGCAGATCTCGGTGTACAGCACCATCTGCCAGCAGCTCGTCGCCATGCACCAGGCGCTCACCGCGCAGCACGCGCACTTCACCGGTCAGTCCACGCGCTCGCGCCTCAGCCTGCGCCGCCCACCGTTCACTGCCGTGTCCCGTTTCGCTGCACCGTCTCACACCGCTCTGTACCGTGTTATCAGTGCTCGTCACCTCCCGTTTCGCGTGTTTCCTTCACTCGTCGTCCCGTTCTGCGATTTGCAATCGCAAAAAAAATAGTCCTTCCAATTTCAATTCTGTTCGAGCCCGCAAGAAAGTTTCGTTCTGAGGTCACCCTTACGTCACAATAAGGCAGTCGCTCGTGTTAGAGGCTGTGGTGACAATCTGTTCTGGGGCTATCAGCTGCTGTTGATAGTCGTCTGTCTGCTTGTCAAGAGTTGACGTGTAACCGCCATCCTGTCGGTAACGGTTATCAAAGCACGTCAATTTTCCTTGCGAGCGCTGGCATTCATGCCGTCTTGAGTGTTCTAGCTTGTCACCGGGCTTATTATCTTGCCTCGCTTTTACCTTGCGTATCCATGTGTGTTTGTGTGTTTACATGCTTCGTATAGGCCATCCATACGCCCTCTAGCCCGTTTTAATATGTTTACGCTTTCGATGCCTATGCGGTGCTAATCCGTGTGCATCCCGATCGAACCGCACATTCAGCCGAGGCCCTTTTAAGCCGCTGACTTGCTGCTAACTCTTCCTCCCCTTCTTCCCACAACCCGATAATGCATCTCTTTTCCCGTCGGCGTGTCAGCAGCGGCGGTGGCAGCGGGGGTGCTGGGCCACCTCCCCTTTCCCTACGACCACTACGGCGTCGGTTCCGCCGCCATCGCCGCTCACCCCAAGACGCGCCAGCGCTGGACGCCGCAACCGGCGCAGCTGCAGATTCTCGAGAAGTACTTTTCGCTCTCCACGGGCACGCCGAATAAGGCGCGCATTCGCGAGATAACGGCAGAGCTGCAGCAGCACGGGCCTATTTCGGAGACGAACGTTTACAACTGGTTTCAAAACCGCAAGGCGCGGGCGAAGCGGAAGAACTCGAATCTCGCGAATGGGGGGAGTGGCGGAGGGGAGAAAGACGCGGGCGCAGGGGAGGTCGCGGGGGCTGTTGCTGCGCATGGCGTGGGGGGGAAGGGGAGCGCGGGGACGGGTTGGGGGAGCCAGGGGGAGAAGCGGCACAAGGGCGACTCGTCGGAGAGGATTAAGGATGTGATTGGAGAGGGGGAAATGGGACTTGTGCGCAGCGGCAGTGTGGCGAGTTCAGGCGGAGGTGACGTCAGCAGGGACCCCGACGGGAGGGCAGGAAACGAGGCGGGTGAGGGCAGCCCCGGGGGAGTCAGCGCCGCGGGGGGGAGCACTGGTGGGACGGGAGGGCCTTTTGCTAGCGCCGGGGAAGGCGGGGGCAACCACACCGCGGAGGGGCAGGAGCGGGGCGCAGGGTCGGGGGGGGAAGGCGCGGTGAGTATGGCCGAGGCAGCAGCTGGCGCGGGTGGCGCTGCGGAGGGGCTGTTACTGGAGGCTCAGCACGTGGCGGTTGCCATGGGGGGTGGCGCCATGGCCGCAGGCGACGGCGGGACTGCAGCAGCGCCTGTAGCGGAAGGGAGCTTGCCACAGTACGGTGGAGAGGGGTGCGGAGCGGCAGGGTATGAGTCGGTTCAGATGGAGACAGGCTTGTTGGGGGATGCGATGGCAGGCATGCAGACTAGCGCTGCTGCTGCCGCTGCTGCTGCCGCCGCCGCCGCCTCCTCCACTGCTGTTGTTGCTGAGGGTGGTTTAGGGTCGGGTGATGGTGAGAATGGTGGGGCCATGGAAGTGGGCGACAGTGCGAACCAGGGTGGCTGGCAGGCAGCAGGGGAAGGTGTGCTGCAGCAGGTGGGCGCGCACGTCCCCACGCAGCAGCAGCAGCGCCTCGATGCGCCTGGAGAGGCGGCTTCCGCAGCCCACGTGGACGCACATGTGCGCATGGACGCTTGTGGGGCGATGGAGATGCAGCATGCGCGAAATGGGGATGGCGCGCACCTGGGCGGCAGCGGGGGGTTGACTGGCGCGCATGCGCACATGGAGGGGGAGGCGCAGAGTCACATGCGCGCGCACAGCAGCGAGCACGTGCGCGCGTGGGGCGCGCATGGCGCTGGGGAGGCGCGTGAGTCGGGGGGGCATGGCCTGGGAGGGCACGCTCTGGTGGAGGCGCAGGGGGGCTTGGGGGAACACTGCATGGAAGGGCGGAGTGCGGAGCAGGAAGGGGTGTCAAGAATAGCAGGCGATCACGGGCAGCCAGCGAGCCTGGCAGCCGCGCCAGCACCTGAAAATACACCTGGGGAAGCACCTGGGCAAGGCGACGTTAACGGGGGGTGTCACACTTTGGTGCAGGAGTCGCTAAGACCACCGGGTGACGTGAGTGGGGGTTTGCAGCACGAGAGTGAGGCAGGGATTGGGGAGCAGAGGGAGGTTGGGGCGTTGCAGTGTGGGCAGGCACAAGTGGCGGTCCAGGAGGGGGGGCAAGAGGAGAGTATGGCTGGGCAGCAGGAGGTGGAGCAGCGTGTGCAGCAGGAGCAGCAGCAGGCCATGGAGCACGGCAGTGCCTTGGCTCCTCCGCTTGCCTGCACGCTTGCTGCTGTGCACACAGCAGAGAGCAGCGTGCATGAACAGGGCGACGTGCAGCAGCAGCAGTTGGCTGTCTCGCCGTCACAAGTGATGGCACCCCAGCAGCAGCAGGGCGAGGAGGGTGGGCAGTTGGAAGGGTTGGAGGCCGGTGTTGTGGTGACAGGGCAGGCAGGGCAAGGCGGGCAAGAGGGGCTCAGCCCGAGTGTTGCTGGGACGGCTGCTGGTAGTGCTGGCAGTGCGGGCAGTGGCAGTGCTGGTGCTGGCGTACTGGATGGTGGTGGTGGTGGTGGTGCTGCTGCTGCTGCTGCTGCTGCTGCTGCTGCTGCTGCTGCTGCTGCTGCTGCTGCTGCTGCTGCTGCTGCTGCTGATGCTGATGCAAGTGATGTTGGTGGTGGCACTGCTGTAGCTGCGGTTGGTGGTGGTGGTGGCGAGGCAGTGTTGGATGGTGGTGAGAGTGCGGGTGCTGCGCTGGGTTTCAGTGGAGTGGGTGCAGTGGGCATGGGCAGTGAGGTGGGGGCGGAGGCGCAGGAGCAGCAGCACATGCTGATTGACCAAGCCATGTTCCACCCGCCTCCTCGTAAGTCTCCACTGAATTTCACCATGCACTTGCACGCATCCATGAAAACCAACCCTCCTCATGCATCCATCACCTCATGCACACTTGAGCAACATAATATTTATAAGCCTTCTTCTCCTCACCTCTCGCCCTCTTCCATTTGTGTCGCTGCAGCCCCACCGGAGGCGACGAGTGCCATGCAGGTGATGATCAACGGCAAGCCATGGGACGTGCCCATTGGGCTGCTGGACGTGCGCAACAGCTTTGGGGAAGGCGCTGTGATATTTGATGCACAGGGATGTGCCGTGCCAACCAACGAGATGGGCATCACGTTGGAGCCTTTGCAGGAAGGCAGCAGCTACACCGTCCAGGGGTGAGAGATCAGTCACTCTCTTCTATAAATTGTTTCTTCTTTCACCTTTTTTTCCAAAGAAACGTTATCAGTGTTTTCTTTTGCAGTCTGGTCCGTGTACGGGTTAGCACTACCTGTTTGACTATTGTTAATTCTGTTTCCCCATACCGTATCTTCGTGCTGCTCATCCTCCCTTTGCCGTTTCCAGGGGCGACATTGCGCTGGTCTCTGACCCTGTTCCTTTGCTACCTGATGGTAAGTCGCATTGGCTGTTATTTCCTCCACCCCCTGTCGTTTGAACACCACACTTTTGTCAAATGTCAAGCATACCAGTTCTTCGGGTTGCTCATGTTTCCTGTTTGTGTGTGTGCAACAGATGACCTTGTGCCCGACTCCACGTTGCTTTGAATCCCACACTTGTTTTCAAGACATGCACTGGCTGCTGGGTATGTTGTTTGTCTGGACACCTCCACCAGCCTGCAAGACCGTTAAGAGCAATTGGATTCTTTGCCAGTTGTTGCCCTAGACATAGCCATGTAGATAATTATTGCCAAATTTGCTTGAAGGTAGGGTGGTGGTTGCAGCCGTTAGTAGTTTCTGGCTCTTCATGCAACATCAGACTCCTGCACTGTACTAGTAGCCAGATTGATGGGGGCCCCGACAACTTGCTTGTACATATGGTACAGTTGCACATGAGACACTGTTCTTGCATCACATCTCATCTAGCATGGGCCCACGCCCTTCTCTGAAAGGTTGGCTTGGCTGTGTCCATGGTGTTCTGACAGGCACGTGACCAGCTGTCGTCTTGCTTTGGTGGAACTTATGGGATGAGGATCACATCATCTGCACGGAAGGTAGAGAATGGTCAATCCGTCAGATGAATAATGCAGCAGTCTGCAAAAGCACAACAAGCTTCGTCTGCACCCACCAGCCTTTATCACGTTTGGGTCTTCAATGTTGTTGATTTCCAATATCGCTGCCACTGTAGTATAGTACTTTCTTGCAATGCCATAAAGAGTGTCACCCTGCAAAGCACATGTAAATCCCTCAAAAACATACATGGTGTTTTCCCATCTTGGGGTGAACGAATATAAGCACACTTACCTGCTGAATAGTATACATGCGCGGAATCCACAGTGTCTCTCCTTTATGGATAGTTTCAGACCGCAGGTTGTTAGCCTGAGAGGAAGAACGCAGTTCGATAAATAAACGGACTAGCACGAGGTGCAAAAGTGGTATGACGAAAAACGCTTTGAACTTGCCGTCAGGAGTTCCTCACCTGTGCAATCACATCCACTGAAGACCCGAAGGTGCGAGAAATAGCAGATAGCGAGTCACCCCTTTGGACGACATAGTATGAACGGCCCTCAATGTTTTCTAGTCCTGAAAGTAAGGAATAAACAGCCAAGGTAGGTGCCCTGAGTAGGCCTTGTAAACGAAGTGTAATGATTCGTTATTCTGATTCTTGAGAGATAATATCCGTTCAACAAAGATACGCATTCAAATGGCTCTCGGACAACTTACCGCCACCGAACGGCCTCGAGCGATTAGCGAGCACAAGGAGAGATGCGCCTGCGCCAGTTGCAGCAGTGCCAACGATGTTACGACGGGAGAAAAGCGTAGACTCTTCAGACAAGGGTTTGAAGCGGAAACGCTGGGTACTTCGTGGAGACAAAGGGACAGCAAATCGTGAGCCGAGGGAGAGCGGTTTTTGAACGGAAAGCGCAAAAGTGGGCATGATGGAAGGGTTGTGAGCGTGCGCGTGACAAGAAGGGAACACGAGGACGCTGGAGGAGGATGAGGCCGTCCGAAGAAGTGAAAGAGAGCTTGACATGCAACTGGTACCAAAAGATGTCATAGTTACTTGTGATGCAGGGAAACAAAATCAACTGTGGAACAACATGGTCCTGGTGGACTGGCACCCTCGAAAATGCACTCGAAAATGCAAGTCACAATTGACACATTGACACAACATTTCTGGAAGAGCAGGACCGATCTTTATCGCGTACAGGTTTGGAACACCACATCGGAAATTGTTTTTGCTTCAAACAAATGCCTGGCCACACATTCTCAACCCAGTCCCTTGATAAGGGAGAACCCATCCTGAGCGGTTTCGGCTTCGGCTCAAGAACAGCCGTTGTGTTTCGACTTCTCGACCTCGTTCCTTCACAGCAAAGCTTCTTCATCCTGCGACCTTCAGTCCGTTCTTCCGTTTTTAGACACTGGCGCTTGACATTTCAACTGGCATGGCGACGTCAGTGTTCGAAATGGCTGCAGGAGCGACGATCGGTCTGACTGTCTGTCCCAGAGCCTCTCTCGTTGCTCGTCCGAGGTAGCTCCCAACAGACTTCTCTTACACGTAGCTTCCATCTACACCATACTGTGTCGATGAATCGAGCTCGTATTGTGCCATTCTCATTCACGATCGCGTCGCGTTTCCCTTCTGTCAGCGTTGTGTCTTCCAGGCCAGCTGCCCGCCAATGCAGCATGAAGAACCTCAAATCCACGTCATTGTGTGGTGCGTTCTTCTCAATGCGAAGCACGTCAACAGCTGGAGCAGCTGCAGTCTGTGTCGGGAAGGGAGTGTGTGTGGTTGCTGCTACAGGGTTTGGGAAGCCGGGTGGTGGTAAGGGCAAAGGAGACACGAAGGATGCGGAAAAATCCCTTAAGTCAACGATGGAGCTCGATAAGTTCATTGATCAGCTCAGAAGCGCAGGCGATAATGAGGTCCGACTCCCCTGCTTGTTGGATACATCGTTTACCTTGGAACGTCGCTGGCTTGGCGAGATTCATAGTTTTCTTCCAACAATGCACGGCAAACTTGCAAGCTGCAACCACTTTTCCGTTGTTTTGGGTCGTAACCCATTTCCTGGTTACTGATTCTAACCCAGGCTGCAACTCCCACTCCCTGCACCGCATTGTTTTGCCATGTTTCAGCTGCCTCTTCTGGTGGCTGAAAACGTGCTTGCCTTTGATCAGAAGTTTTGGCTTCGACTGGTCACACGGGCAGAGTCAAGCTCTTCGGTGGATGACAGGGTAATGCAGTATGGATGACAAGCTCCCACGTCATAATCACCGCTCTATCCATGATCTCTCTCGAACCATTTTTCCTTAACACCGACTCTGTGTGCCTGTATGCGTGCTTCGTAGAGGGATTTCGAGGAGCTGGCCCGGAATGTAATGGAAATGGTGGAAAAGGTGGTTAAGAAAACGCATGTAAGTTGTCCATTATTCGCTTCGTCTATGGAAATCACCATGCCGTTTTTCATCATGTGCGTTACCTTCTTCTATCAAATTTGTCACTTCAAACCCTGCCTACATATTATTCCAGGAAAACATGGACAGCACCAGTGATGCACTTGCATCCATGCTTAGGCAGCTTGGAGACGACAATGAAGAAATCTCTTGGCCACCTTCAGGGGAGGTCTTGGCCAAGCTGCGACAGGTTCGTAGATCCTACGCCACCTCTGTACAGACTGAGTGGTTCTCCTGGTAATATGGGGATTTCTGGTGGCATCTGCAAGCACTTCTATGCAACTATTTATACCCAGGTGGAACACCCTTTGGTGGCATCTGCAAGCACTTCTATGCATCTATTTATACCCAGGTGGAACACCCTTTGTCCTCTGTTCTGCCACTTTGCAGGAAGTCGAGCAACGGGATGAGGATGGCCGCATAGATGAGAAGTTTCTTGCCTCAGTGTCAGCTCAACTGAGACAGGTATTCTCAACAATACATGTGACCAGTCATTTTTTCCTGGTAGCTCACGCACGGAAGAGAGTTTCACACAGGCTGTTTCTGTGTTGAATTGTGCAGGCTACAGAAGCCACAGATAAACCTGGGCTTGCGGCCATGTTGCAGAAGGTTCTTCAGTTATACGCCTCGGTTCGACCAGGCCGAAGGAGCTATGCAACTCGACGTATATACTCCTTGTGTACTGTTGAAGTCATGTATAAGGTTTCAGTTTTCTTGAGTAATCTAACAAGCCTGCGCAAGGTTTCCCTGTCCTCTCCCGTATTTTCTGCAGGTGATGGTACCATCGATGAGGCTGAGGAGTTTTTGGAAACACTGATACAAGGTATGAAAAGAATGTTGTTAAAGAAACAATCATACAATTCATAAGCAACTACTTCGCACAGCAGCTAATTTGCAGAGCAGCTACTTTGCAGAGGAGCTGCTTGAAAGAATGGCTGACACAACTGATAACTCATGCTTACAGCTCCTGAGGAAACTTGGAACTCCCTCCTTCAAACCCACCTCACTTGTGGAGGTGGGAGTCTTCCAGAAGCTGATTTGTATACCACCCTCGAGAAGAGGGCAGAGAGAATCTTCATGCACACTGTAAGTAGACACTACTTCAACCGTAACATCAGCTCTCCTGTCCATCCATCCAGCTAATTGCCTTTCAACTGCAACGATTCTTCACCTGCAGGAAAGCGGCTCATACGAGCAGAGAAAACTGGGAGAGTACTTGAAAGAACTGGAGGCACGAGCCCGAGCAGTGGCTGCTGCCTACTCCACACCTCCTCAGCTGCCATCCTGATTAGCGGACATAAACGCTTGAATCCAGGGTACTCTAGATTCTGTGGATCATTTGCTAAGGAAATCCACCCAGCGAAAGTAGGCATGAGCTGGTGATAGGCTTCCTTTCCACACGCTTGAAGGGGCTTCTTGCATTGTGAGAGAATGCTGGCTGTTGCACCTCCGATCCAGAGAGTCCTCGCTTGCGATGATCAGATACCTGAGAGAATGAAGAAAGCAATTATTTTATTATCTGTGTCAAGATTAAGTGAGAAGTGCTTTGTCGTACGGTAGCCTGGAACATACAGAATCAACGTGTGTTGCGCCATGGCACTTCAAGGACTTGTCCTCCGATACCCAAAGCCCTGAACAGCAAATCCATTTGGTGAAATTTAGAATCGTATTGGGCAACAAGAAAACACAAATGAAGCAATAAGAAAATACATGCCTGCCTGTGATGTTGCCAAGTGAGCAGTTGGCCTGTAAATCAGGGCGTGCTGCTGACTCAACCTTGGGTGTACCATGCTCCCACCGAAGCAGGCTAAAACAGAACCGTCCCTGACATCGTGTTTCTCTTGCACTTCAAAACCCTGAAGGAAAACACAGGCACAACGATTATCAGATTCTGTGTAGATCACAAATTAGTCCTTCGCAAATTACCAATTTCTCACCTCCATGTAGTCCTCATGTGCCATGTGCGGACTACCCATATTGCGCAACCCATTATGCATGCGCTTTTTCTTCGCATGGCAAAGTGTGGTCTTGCCCTCAGTCCCAACAAGGAGAGGCTGCGGAGGAGCAACAAGGACACGTGACCCCTTTTGCAGCTGCACCGTGAGTGTTTGTGCCTGGTGACCAGCACTGTCGTCTGCTTGCAATGGAGTTCCTGGCAGCTTGAAAGGAGGAATGCTGGAGTTGAAAGTGAAGCTTGAGTTACTCCCATTGTCACATGGGAAGAAGTGCCATGGAGAACCTCCATTGACAGATGGTGACTTGCCATTAACCGCACCATTTGCATTCAAACCTGCAGAGCACCAACGCCAGGCTGTTAGGCCGGTTACATAAGATTCTTCAAATATCCAATTCTCAGTTCAAGTACCATTCTGGTTCCCTCGAGGTAGATCCTTCTTGTTAGCAAGCTTGCTAAGTCTGCGCCTGTGCTTCGCCTCCGCCCTGAGAGAGAATATGACTTGCTCAGCTGGTAGCATCTCCAGAACTGGAACCTCGTCCCCATATTCTGCAGATTACACTTCAGATATGCTCTGTTAAAGGGCTAATAAGGTCTACCAATTTTTTTTTACCCATAACTTCACACTGAGGAAAAGTCTAGTCTATACCTGAAAGGGGAAGGTTGATTGTTGTGCATTGCCTCCCAAAAAATGAAATCGCAGCTCTGTCATGAGCCCTTGCTGCGTCCTTCTCGTCGTCCCAATTTCCAAGATATCTGCAAACGACATGCCAAGTTGTTGAATGATGAAGACAAAAAGCCAACGAACTTCTTCAGAATGTAAAGACGGAACTGTACATTTTTCGCCTGGAATTGTAGAGGTAGGCTTCCCATCTCCCGCTTGGATCAGAAGACACTCCAGAGAACCTGTGCTTCTTCGTCTGATCCACCTCAAACTCCGTACTCTGAGCTGGAGTCACTGGAGCCAGTGAGTTCTCTGGAGTAAGTGTCGCCCTGCACAAGATACATTTCATGAACATTAGTGAACACGTTTCAAACCAAAACACAGTAAGATTTCAGATGACAAGTCCCTTACTTGGTAGCTCCTCCAATTGCATCCGTCTTCTCCAAATCAAGCTTCAATTTCTTGCTCGCCGGCTCAAATGTTAAGCCTGACCTTGGCATTGCAGGAACCAGGTCAGGCATACAGCTGAGTGACTCCTGAAAGGATGCCATCGGGAACTTTGCAGAATCGGTAGATGTTGGCGTGTAGGGAGAGCCTAACGTCAGGTTAAGCTCGTTAAATTCCATTGATAATGAGCTAAAACAAAAAGGCTTAGTCAGACACTAGACTGCTCCAAGACTTGCAAGGAATGTGCAAAAGAAGTCCTCGGAAGGGATAATCGGAGATACGCAACGAGGATGAAATGCTGCTTCGCGATATGACAACCTGTGCTAGCTGGGCTTCCCATTGTAATCGACAGCCACCGCCACCAGGTTGCTTAAGGTGGGACAGACAAGGCAAACGTCTCCCTGCTGTGTCCTCCAGAGACTTTGATTCTCGGGCGGGCGTCCTTGATCTTCTGCAATTGGCCGCGAGCATCTCGATGGGACGAATCTGACTTGTGAAAGCATGATTGGCATCTGTTATTCTCTTAAATGATTAATGCATTCGGATCGGCAATACCTGGTCAACCCACCCTCCGTGATTGACTCAGGAACACCACCTACGTCTCTTGAGCCTCCGAAGGGCAAGAAGGAATCTATAATGACACGTCAGGAAACCTTCAAATCCCACCGGATCAAGGCACTGCACGCTTCCTTCTCTCTAAAGCCTGCACGTGGCGCTGGTAGGCTGGCGCATGCCGGTTTATCACGTGAGCGAAAGGCGTTAAATTCTACAGCGGGAGCTGGTGGTAAGCCACTATACGTTTCACTCCGCCCCCTCATAAGTCATAGTAACTCTCCTCTCAGTCCTGCTGCTGATCGGCAATCACAGGTGGCCGTGCCTCCAAACTCCTGTTCACCTCCTGCATGCATGAAGCCACGCAGATGTCTCTCAAGAATTATTGGAAAAAGGTGCGGATCTAGGCAGGTGGCGGTCAGAAGAGAAATATTTAGGACCGCGTGTCAGCGAGTTAAAACCAGATTCAGCGATGTTCGCTCCATTGTCAGCGCTTTATGTATTACGGCTCCTAGTTGGTGCTGGACAGCAAATTCTGGCACATATGGTGACGTTTTAGATTCATTTTCCTATACGGTGGCTTTTTCAACGTATGGATATAAAGTGGGAAACGCAAATTTCGCTAGTAGAGCTTCCAATAACGGATGTCCTGGAGAATTCAGAGTGAATTGTTCATCAGACAATTTGTCATGCTCCCTGAGGACGCGGTGAAAGTGCAAAAATCGCAGGATCGTCTGCAAATATCGAGCCCCACAATCGAGTAGGCAGATCGTTCGGCGAAACATGGCGACCGCGACGTTGTAACGATCGCACCTGAGAATTGACAGATCTCCCGCGATCAGTGATCAGTCACATTCACACACTGTACAGAAATTTTGGCCAAAAAGCGTTTTGTAGCATGGTTACAGCGCAGTAAATAGGGTAACCAATCTGCACATCGATCGCGACTGACGATCGATCGTCTACTTTCTCCGCGTCCTGGTCCAGGTTTCAGATACTGTTCTATGGTAGCTAGCCATTGGCACGCATTTTCCGCTGTCTCAGTTTTGTAGGAGAAGCTACGGTAGTATCTGCGATGGATGCTTTTGAGAGCTATTTCCGAGCGGCGGACACGAATGGCGACGGAGTCATTAGCGGGGCCGAGGCCGTCACCTTCCTCCGACGATCCGGCCTTCCTCAGATGACTCTCGCAAAGGCACGTCCAGCGATCATTCTACGGCATTAACTCTGAAAAGCCTGAACATTTTTCGCCTTTTAATGACACAATCCCCTATAAAGGGCCTGCATCACCGTGTGCGATAGCGTCGTGTCGCGTGCGATAGCGTCGTGTCGCTTGCGATAGCGTCGTGTCGCTTCCTGAGGGTGCATATCAGCCATTCCTTGTCATGCATCCCTGTCTCTACCGCAGTCCGTCATCCGCCATCCACCACTTCTCACGTATTGCCATTCACCACAGCTCCCGTTCCCTCTGACATCTCGCACTCCCCCATCCACACCCCCGCGCATCTGCAGGTGTGGCAGTACTCGAGTGTGTGTCAGGCTAGGGCAGTCACGCGAATCTGAACATGACTCAGCGTTCCCCCTCCATTCCACCACCCTTACCGCTACCTCCTGTCTGCCATTTGCCACCCTTACCACTACCACCCCCCTGCAGGTGTGGCAGTACTCCGCGGACGTGCATCATGCTGGCGCGCTCAACCAATCTGAACATGAGTGAGATTCCATTCTCCACCTTCCTCACCACTACCCCCTTTCTGTCATCTGCCACCCTTAACACTCCCCCTCTGCAGGTGTGGCAGCACTCGGACGTGCGTCAAGCTGGCGCGCTTCACCAATCTGAACATGATTGAAATTCCATTTTCCACCTCGCTTACGACAACCTTCTGTCTGTAACTGCTACCGCCCCTCTGCAGGTGTGGCAGTACTCGGACGTGCGTCAAGCTGGCTCCCTCACGCGCCCCGAGTTCTTCAACGCACTGCGCCTCGTCACTGTAGCGCAGTCAGGCCGCGACCTCACACCCGACCTCGTGCGCGCCGCGCTCAACGGCCCTGCCGCCGCGCAGATCCCTCCCCCTCGCATCTCTGGAGCTCCTTCTCCTGCCGCTGGTGCTCCTGCGGGGGGTGCAACTTCTGCTCCCCCTGCTGCTCGAGGCCCTCCTCCTGCTGCTGCCGCTGCTCCTGCCACTGTCGCAACACCTGCAGCTGCAGCAGCACCTCAGCAGCCCCGCCGTCCGTCGCCTGTCCCCACTCGTCCCGGGATGGGACCAGGCACCGTTGCTGCTCCACAGCCTCTCTCCTCCTTCCCTTCTGGCCTCAGCGTGGGCTCCGCCAGCGCAGGATTAGCTTCGGGAGGACTGACAGCAGCAGCAGCAGCAGCCGGGCTGAAGCCGAAGCAGCCTGGCGCTTTGTCAGACGTGTTTGTTGAGTTTGGTTCGTTTGATGTCAAGTCTAAGTCCGTGCAGCCTACTAGTGCGCCTGTGAGGCGGGAGGCACCGGGGTCGCTGCAGCAGCAGCAGCAGCAGCAAGCACAGATGGGGACGATTCAGGTGCAGCAGCAGATGGCTGCTAAGCAGCAGCAAGATCAGTTGCAGCAACAGCAGCAGCAGCAGCAGCAGCAGCAGCAGTTGCAGCAACAGCAACAACAGCAGTTGCAGCAGCAACAGCAGCTACAGCAGCAACAGGCCTTCCCACCACCACAGCAGCAGCAGGCGGCAGGGGAAGAGAAGCCATCTCAAGGGCTTGTTGCACCTGCTGCTACCGTGTCCGCCCCTACTGCCCCTTCTGTACCTACCACTGCCGGCCCCGCTGCTGCTGACCAAAGCATGTCTTCCTTTGCGCAGTCTCCTCCTCCCCCTGCTCCAGCTGCTGCACCTGCAGCTACTGCTGCTTCTGAACCCACAGCAGCAAGTTCAGGAGCTGCAGATCCTGGTATGCAGGGAGCAGCAGCAGTCCTGGATGCAGACAAGAAAGGGGCAGGTGGAGTGAGCACAGGCGCACCAGGAGCAGCAGCAACGGCGGAGGGAGCAGGAGGGAAGGTGAAACGGACAGCAGACGACATCGCAAAGGCGTCCCTGAATGCCTTCCTTATAGGAGGTGTTTCTAATGCCATGGTCCCCAAGCAACCCTCAGGCACAACCCCAGCCCCAGCAGCAGTAGCAGGAGCGGCAGGAACAGGGCAGTTCGTTTCAAGCCAAGCCATCGTGCCTGCGGCTGCTGCTTCTGGTGCTATTGTCGCTGCTGGGATGGCAGCAGCAACAGCAGGGGGAGCAGCGGCAGCAGCAGGGGGGGCAGCAGGAGGGGGGTATGTGATGGTTCCGGGTGACCCGCAGCCATGGCCCCAACTCACAGTGGCAGAGGTGCAGCGCTGTGCACAGGTGTTCAGTGCGGTGGACACGGATAGAGATGGGAAGATTACAGGGGAGCAGGCAAGGAAGTTGCTAATGAGTTATAAGGTCCCCATCGGTGAGCGCTTCTCCCCACTCTTTAGTTATCCTCACCGTTCTTTCCTTCCCATCCCGCTGCCTTTTGAGTCGACTAAAAAATTATCCTCCCCGTTCTTTCCTTTCCATCCCGCTGCCTCCCTCTCTCCTCCTTTCCTCCTCATCTTTCCTCGTTTTCTCCTTTGTTCCTAATTTTCTGTCACCTGCATTGCATGTCGCCACTTCCCCTCCGACCTCTGAATCCATCGCTCTGGCATTCCTGCTTCCCCGCCTCCCAGACGTGCTGAAGCGGGTGTGGGACATGGCCGATCAGGACAAGGATGGCATGCTCACCCTGCGAGAGCTCTGCACCGCTCTGTACCTCATCAACCACGTGAAGGCGGGCCGCCAGCTGCCGCCCACCCTGCCTCAGGGCATCCATTTGGACGAGCAGCCGCCACCACCCACCGCTGCTGCTTCTTCTGCGCCTGCTGCTGCTTCAGCCGCTGTGTCAGCGAGCACAGCCGCCCCTGTTGCTGCAGCAGGGGGAACGGGAGGGGAGGGAGGAGGGGGTGCGGCAGGTGGGGCTGCTGCACAGGCAGTTACTGCTTGGAGACATCAACCAGGTGCGTGGGGTGGTGAGGGGCAACGAGCATGTAAGGGGTCACGTGAGCACCACCAGTGTGTGCGCATGTGAGTCCCTTAGTATGTTCCTGCAACGTTTCATACGAGAGAATCACTTTAGGCTTTGGGTTGCCTCGTGTGCATTGCTTTCCTCATCTGCGCTTCCCCCTGCGAATCATCCTCTCAACCACCATCTCCCATGCATTGCCTGCAGTGAGTGGCACGCCCGAGCAGCAGCAGCAGCAGCAGCAGCAGCAGCGGCCAACAGTAGTGGTGCGTCACCTACCTCGTTCCCCTTCTTTTCTTCCCATTTCATGCCTTTCTCTTTCCTTTTCTCATCCATAATGGTCCCACCCTCCTTCCCTCCCTCGCGTCCTCCCTCCCCTCCCTCGTCCCTTCCCACCCCCTCTGCATCCTGATCTGCTTCATTTCCCTCTCTCCTAAATCTGGATATCTTTTTGTTTGTTTGTTTTAACCTTAGCTTGTGATATCAGAACCTAAAATGTTTCATGTCCCAAGCAACCTAACCCATGCCCGTGGCCCACCACGCAACCCCACGCACACCCATCAGCTGACGGCGTGGGGCAGATGCCGGTGCCAGAGGAAAGCGAGAACAGAACTCTTCACAACTCATCCCATACCCACTGCACCCCACCTGCATAACCCCACCCCACAATCCCACACACACCCACATCAGCTGACGGGCGTGGGGCAGATGCCAGTGCCAGCAGAAGCAGGAGACGTGGATGCATCACGGCCCGTGTACCGCTCGCAGGCGCCCGACCTGGAGGGCGAGAAGGTGGCTCAGCTGGAGGCGGAGGAGCGGGAGAAGCTTGAGAGCAAGCACAGGGAGGCGGAGGAGATCGGCAAGAAGGTGAGTAAGATGTCCTTATTGGGAAGAAGGTAACGGGGGGGAGGAGAGGAGGATGGGGCGGGGGTGACGGGGACAGGAAGGAACACATTGACGAGCCCTCTGTTTTGGTGCTGTGAGCTTGCTTAGTGCACAGCACTTTGCTGGTTGTGGGGTTGTGGACTCGTTTGCTTGCTGGTAAAATGCTGCCTTAGCTCGTTGCCCATCCCAACCCCTTCTCCTCGCTTGTCCCTTGCGCGCACTCTGTCTTGCTCACTCACTGGTGATCGTATGTGTGATGCCTCCGTGTATGCATGACTGGCCTCGTGTGTGTACGTGCTGGCACGGGCAGGTGTGGGAGACGGAGCTACAGATAGCAGACTACAGGCGCAAGATTGACTTCTATCGTGTCAAGATGCAGGAGATCGTGAGCCTGCTGTAGCCATTCCATGCCACTCCATTCCATTCGACCATGCCATTTGCTCTCGCTTCATACAATGCAGTGCAACTCCTCCTTTTATCTATAGAGCGGCACCCCTAGAGAGAGGCGCCCCTAGAGAGAGGCGCCCCTACAGAGAGGCGCCCCTACAGAGAGGCGCCCCTAGAGAGAGGCGCCCCTAGAGAGAGGTACATGTCTTAGAATGACAGTCACCTCACCTGTCTTCTTGTCAGGTTGCGTGTCTCATCCTTACCGTCCTTATCATTCAATCCCTGCACCTGTGTGCCTGTCCAATGTCCCCCCTGCGTCTGTGCATGCGTGTGCCGCGCATTACCCCGTGCGTGTGCCGCGCATCACCCCGTGCGGGTCAGATCATGTTCAAGAGCCGCTGTGACAACCGCTTGAACGACGTCACGGAGCAAGTAGCAGCGCAGAAGAGACATGTGAGTGCCAGGCAAACGCCTTGCAAACGCTTTGATCGAAATATGAGACACCTCTAATGGTTTCAGTGTTGACATTGCTTCAACATGTGACGCTCAGCTCCAGCCTTGGAATCCTATCAACGTGTGTCTGTTGGCTTCATTCCCCTAACCCTCTCCATCACCTCCATTGCATCCGTGGTGTGATGTGGTGTGGTGCGGTGCCGCGTGGCAGTACGACATGCTCTGCAAGCGATACGACGAGCGCTTCAAGGCGTCCATGCCAGGTGTTAAGTCACGATTGGCCTACGAGGACAGTGTGCTCAAGGAGCTGCAGGTGGGTGGCTCTCAGTGTTGAACTGCTGCCAGCTGCTGCTTCGGCTCGCGCTTCTCATCATCCATGTCTCTTCTCCACCGTGCCATGTGGCTCCATGCCAATCTATCTTCCCATGTGCCACCCAATGACACCCTGTGGGCCACCCCACGTGCTGCCCCCAAACCCACCAGGATCGCAAGGCAGAGTTGATGGAGGTGGTGTCGCGATTCCGTGCCACCACCACTGCTGACGCCTCGGACCTGCTGCAGGTGCGTGCATTGCTCACTGCCAGCTGGGTCCTGTAGTTCTTGCTGCATGTGCGTCCTTGCGCGCTGCAGCCAGCACCTCTCCTCTCCACTCCTCTCCTCGCTCATCTCCTCCCTGGCGCTCCTGAGCCTCCTGACTCCCCTCCTGCCTCATGCCAGGGCCGGGCGGACAAGCTAGGCATGGATCTGGAGGACGCTCGGAGGGCCATGAACAGGCAGGCCAAGGACCTGGGGTTGTTGAGTATACGCAGCACCACCCTCTCTTCCATTCCGCCACCCGTGTCAATCCCCTCCCGCCTCGCCATAGGGCCGGGCGGACAAGCTGGGAATGGATCTGGAGGACGCAAGGAGGGCCATGAACCGGCAGGCCAAGGACCTGGGGCTCAAAGTGCGCCCGCTGCTCAGCGCTGCCTCCGGGCCTGATGGTGGGCGCTCCCACACTTGCTGCCTTTTTGTCATTGTGCTTCTTGCTCTCTTTTCCCCTTTCAATCATACTTTTGAGACGTCTCAAAAGTCTTGTTGCTCTCTTTTCCCCTTTCAATAATCGTCTACACCGATACCGTTGCCTCACACGTCCTTCATCCCATCTACTCACCTCTGCCTGCATGTTCTGCTTGGCGTGCCTTCCCGTTCTGCCCTGTTTGCCTGCACTGCTTACACATGCATGCATGCGTTTTGCTCTGGGCACGCTACCATGCATGAACGCATGGATGCATGCATGCATGAATGCATGTTGTTGTGGACGCATGGGTGCATGCATGCAGCGTGGCGAGTGGCCCTACAGGAGAACATGGCGGATTGTGATGATGACTGGGACGAGTTCATGGACCAAGGTGAGTCTATTTCTCACAGACTTGAGGGGAGGAGAGGAGAGGTGAGGTGAGGTGTGATGATGACTGGGACGAGTTCATGGACCAAGGTGAGCCCACGCCAGGTGATGTGAGGTGAGGTGAGGTGAGGTGAGGTGAGGTGGTGTGAGTTATGGTGAGGTGAGGTGAGGTGGGCCTTTCTTCACCACCTCCACGTGCGGCCTTGTAAGCCACGGTGGCATGAGCGTCACACCTGTCCACACTCGCACCTCTCTCCATCCGCTTGTTTGAGATGCCTCAAAGTCACCTCCCCCCATCCCCCCACTCCCCCCATCCACAGGCTTCTCAGTGGTGTGCTCGCACATGGATGACCTTCTGGGGGGACACAACGACAAGTCAGTCCGATAGAGCTTGCAACCATCTCCTTCCACCCCCCACTCCCCATCCATCCTCCCTCATTCTCTCACTCCCCCATTCCACAGGCTTCTCAGTGGTGTGATCGCGCACAGACGACCTGCTGGGGGGAGACAATGATGAGAAGTCAGTCTGCTAGAGCCTACACCCACCTCCTTCCACCCCCCACTCCCCATACATCCTCTCTCGTTTCCCAACGCTCCTCCCTTCCACAGGCTTCTCAGTGGTGCGATCGCGCACAGGCGACCTGCTAGAGAGAGGCGCCCCTACAGAGAGGCGCCCCTACAGAGAGGCGCCCCTAGAGAGAGTTGCCCCTACAGAGAGGCGCCCCTAGAGAGAGGCGCCCCTACAGAGAGGCGCCTTTAGAGAGAGGCGCCCCTAGAGAGAGGCGCCCTTACAGAGAGGCGCCCCTAGAGAGAGGCGGCCCTACAGAGAGGCGCCTTTAGAGAGAGGCGCCCCTAGAGAGAGGCGCCCCTACAGAGAGGCGCCCCTAGAGAGAGGCAGGCGCCCCTACAGAGAGGCGCCCCTACAGAGAGGCGCCCTTACAGAGAGGTGCCAATAGAGAGAGGCGGCCCTAGAGAGAGGTGGCCCTAGAGAGAGGCGGCCCTAGAGAGATGTGCCCCTAGAGAGCGCTTACATCCACTCCCTTCCAACTCCCACTCCCTATCCATCTTCCCCACCCCCCCATCCCCTCGCCTCTTCCACAGGCTTCTCAGTGGTGCGCTCGCGCACGGACGATCTGCTGGGGGGAGACGACGATCCCGCGCCCCTCCTTGGCCCCATCACCCCCTCCACCCTTCCCCTCGCCCCCATGCTGCCCCCACGCTCCTCCCCTCCACAGGCTTCTCAGTGGTGCGCTCGCGGACAGACGATCTGTTAGGGGGAGATGATGACGAGCCGGCGCCCCTCATCCCCCTCGGCCCCGTCACCCCCTCCGCGCCGTCCTTGGGAACCCCTGCTTCCCCGCCCCTCGCTGCCGCTCCTGCCGCTGCCAGCGCTGCTGGTGAGGGTGCTGCTGGTGGTGCTGCTGGCGGTGCTGTGTCCGCTTGGGCCCTACTGGAGGAAGAGGAGGAGGAGAGGAGGGCGCGGGATGAGATGGAAGAGGATGGAGAGAGAGAGGAGGAAGAGGAGGAAGAGGAGGAAGAGGAGGAAGGGAGGGAGGAGAGTAGTGGGGTTGGGCAGCTGGGGGGGTGGTCTAGAGGCAGTGGGAGGGGGCGGGGGGTGATGGGCGAGGAGGAGGAGGAAGGAGGCCATGTTGTGGAGGAGGAACCTGAGACGCCTCAAGGGTGAGTTTCCCACACGCGTAAGTTAGAAAAGGTAGCCCCCCACTTGTCTGCAAAAGTTTAGCATACTCTACAGGTCACATCACTGGGAAGATGTTAGCTGGTGCTTTCATTTCGTGGTGATGAAGCCACTGACATCCTTTTGTCAGCCCATCCAGATTTGTATTCTCCCTTACTGCTCATCTCCTTCATTCCCATCAGCCGCACCTTTCTTTCTATGCTCTGCGCCACCTGCTCTTGCGCCTGTGTGCTCTCAGCCCATCAGCGTGGGACAACCGCTTTGGGTTCACAGCCTCAGGAGTGGACTCGCCCTCTGTCTCCCAGGTCAGCACTCCTCCTCCCATCATGCCACTACCACTGCTTCACCCTCTCCTCTCTGCCCTGCCCTTGCCTTTGCCACTGCTTCACCCCTCTCCTCTCACCTGCCCCTCTCAACCCCGTTCTATGCCTCCTTCTCTGTTCCGAGTTACAAATACACTGCGTACCGTCCTTTTTTATTATTATTATTATTATTATTTTTTCGCGTGCCCTTCTTGTCTCCTGCATCCCATCCCATTCCTCTCCATTCACCAATCACAGTCCTCAGCCTTCGCCGCCCAGGACTTTGCCTCGGGATTCGACCATCATTTCGACGCCACAGGTTCGGGCTTCCGAGCCTCCAGCCAGTATGACTCCAACTTCCGAGCCTCGAGTGAGTTTGACTCGCATGCACATCCAGAAGACTCAGCTTCTGAGCAGTCAGGGCTGGGGTTTGGCCGCCCAGACGATTACGCTGAGGTGGCTTCGGGCGGCGCTGCAGGATTTGATTCTGCTGCGGGGTTCGATTCTGCATATGGAAGTGGGCGGGGCAGCGGTGTGTCGGCGTCACGATTTGATGAGCATGTGGGGGAGGAGGATGCATCGTCTGCAGACAACACTCCCATGGCAGGCGCAGGGGGAGACTTTTCTCAGCGCGGGTGGGGTGCTTTCTAAACATCAATGCAGCACACCTGATACTCAATGTTACGGTAGCTTACAACCACTTTACTAAAGGATACTCTGCACTGCAAGGGTTGATGTGTGATGCTTGAATATCAGGGACGATTGTCTGCCAAGTTGAAGCATTGGGTAGGTGCAACAAGCTCCTCATGTCTTACACTCCACTCCAGTGACTGAAAATTATTACTACATTGTAAGTAACATATGGTAGGGCTTCTTTACAATTACTACCATCACAGTGCTGCCTGACGACTAAATGCCGGTCCCAGATAGAACCTCTGCACAAGTGGATCCTCCAACACCTGCTCTGGTGTGCCACACGCCACCACCTTCCCCTCATGCATCACATACGCACGGTCACACACCCCCAGCGTCTCCGCCACGTTATGGTCCGTGATGAGAATGGCCATGCCGTCCTGCTCCCTTAGGCTGCACAGCATGCTCTGCATCAGCTGCACTCCTATGGGGTCCACGCCTGCAAACGGCTCATCGACCATTAGCAGCCGTGGCGGGTTGCAATCGCTGTCCTTTACTGCCAGTGCTCGGGCTACCTCCTGATTGTCGGGTAAGGGTGGGAGAGGAGGAGGATGGGGGAATTAAAGGGAGAGAATGGGAAGCACCATGGATTGGCGTGAAGGAGCTTTTGTGGCACATGGGTGCATGCCTGCCAAGTGGTTCATCTAAGATGGACAAAGCAAGGCGCACATGTAAGCACGTGCATGGACGAGTGCACTCACACATGCACATGAAAGCACATGAGCATGAGAGTGCACGTACCGCTCTGCGCCGCTCTCCACCTGACAGGTGGCGCCCGAGAGTGTGTGCGACGTGGACCAGGTCAAACTTGCGTAGCAGCTCCTGGGGGGCCGAGGGATGAGGGAGGTGAGAAGGGGGATGAGGGCAGCGAGGGGGAGAGAACATGCAAAGAACTTGCCAAGGGTGTGTGGGCATGGCATGGGCATGCACGTGCGTACCTCAATCCTGGCGTCATGCAAATGGTGCGGCAAGGGCCCCTCCTCGAGAACGAGTCGAATGTTATCCGCCACGCTGAGCCCGCGGAAGATGCTCGCCTCTTGAGCCAGAAACGCCACGCCCATCCGCGCCCGCCGCTCAAGAGGAAGGCCGGTGACGTCAGTGCCGCCCAATTGCACGGTGCCAGCTGTCGGGGTCTCGCGGCCGACCGCGATGCTGAAGGTGGTGCTCTTGCCCGCGCCGTTGGGTCCCAGCAGACCCACCTGTAGCGTGGGGGGGGGATAGCGGGGTGGTTGGTGGGATGCTGGTGGTGATGGTGGTTGGGATGGGAAGAGAGGTGTGATAGGAGGAGGAAACGCAGCAACGGTAGCAGAAGCATATCAACGCGGATTTCTCACGAGGAAACATGCGTGAGGGGGATAAGAGGGGCGGAAGGAGACGCGAAGGAACGGGAAGGCAGGAAGGGAGGCAACTACGATTTCTCGCGGGTTCACGTGGAGTGACACGTCATCCAGAATGACTCGATTGCCGAATCTCATCCCGATCCAAACACCGCGATTCTGCGACCTTCTTGCCTGGACCGTCGTCGCTCGCACCCTCTTGCTCTGCGACATTGCTCGCCAAGGTGCTGCTCTGCGACAGCCAAGGAGATCGCACGAATCGCATGACGATTAAGGTACGACTGAACAATTGGAACTCAGCGTATTTTTTAATGACTGTGCGACGACGGGATTACCATCTGAGTGTTCTGATGCGCGACGAATCGCCGAACGAGAGAGAATGTCGCCTGAGGCGACCTCTGACTCTAAGCGGCGCAAGGCCTCGACATGGTCTGACATCAGCGCTTGCGGAAAGAGATGTGAAGCTTCGAGCGCCCAGACTAGCCATAACCGAGCTTACTGTCGTGTTCTATTGGGAGAAAGGAAAGCAGTGAAGATTTGTAAGTCAAAATCTTCATGACATGCGACCAGTGTGAGAAGAAATGTGGGGGCGGTTTCACAACATAGCGAGTGATGACTGTTTGATGACTCTGACAGTTCGTTTAGCTGATCGTCCGTGCGAAACGGTGGTTACTGTCGCCACAAATCGCTATTTTTTTACGCACGTAACCATGCGACGCCGCATTCGCAACATAACCGAGTGAATTTATTTAGGGAAAAATGAGGGAACCGAGCATTCGAACGGTAACGGTTCGTCAGAAACGGATGGTTCGAATATGGGCTCTTGTGGTTGGCGCACGAAAATTTATGACATTGCGTAACCTCGGACAGTTTCGTTAACTTTGCGCGACCTTGCGCGATCGTTGCACGACATTGTGCGACAGAAACTTACGATACTCGCCTGATTGCGTAACCTCGCACAATTTCGCGCGTATTCAAATCTTGAATACTGAAAGACTGTTTTGATAAACAAAGGGTTCCATAACGGAATCTTCCATTTGTCTAACTTTCTCTTAACGCAAATTCAAGAAAATGCAAAATGGTTACACGCCCTTATTGCATATTCGGATGGCTCATGTTCAAATCCACCCATTAGAGCATTTTCAGCTCGAATCTTGCCCAGCAAAAAGTTGTACCCCTACGAGTATTTTTGTTTTTGCCCACAAATGCTTAGAATGCGCATGAACCCATATAGGCTGAAGGAAAAATAATTGAACCTGGATGTTATTGCATGTTCGGGTGGCTCATATTCAAATACACCAATCAAAGCATTTTCGACTCGGTTCGTGCTCAACGAAAAGTTCGACGCCTACAATCCAGGCTGTTCTTGCCAACAAATGCTTAGAATGCGCATGAATCCCTACAGGCGTAAGGAAAATCATTGAACAACCTGAATGTTATTGCATAGTCGAGTGGCTCATGTTCAAATACACCTATAAGAGCGAATTTCGGCTCGGTTCATGCTCAAAGAAAAGTTTGGCGTCTACGATTCTGGCTGTTCTTGTTGACAAATGCTTGAAATGCACATGAATCCCAGTAGGCGTAGGAAAAAGCATTGAACAATCTGAATGCTGTTGTTACAAGTGAAGGATCATAGTGGATAGGATAAGCCAATCAAGTCTGAGGGAAGACAATGAAGTTTTTGTAATGACCTTGTTAATAAGTTGAAAGAGAACAAGATGATTAAAGGACAGTGATACAAAGATATAAATAGCAATCATAGCTAGCCATGTACTCTGAGGGGTACATTCCCTTCTTAACTGAATTGCATTGCTACAGTAACCACGACTATTGCTATTCTTGACAGTTACAGTGTTGGATCGCGTAACTTCCAAGTGCGGTTATTGAGCAGTCAAAGGTCACGACCGTTGACTGTCTTCGACTATTGACCTTCGGGTGACCCTCGACCTTCCGCATGCTCTTTATGAGCTATTGCGATAATGATACAGGCGCGTACCTAGCTTCGTTATGGAGTGACGCGCGAGTGGAGAGCCTTCGGGAATGTTACTGTAACCTTTTAGGTCATTCCAACACTCCCCTTCATTCCTGAAGGTGAGCCACGTGGGATTTCTTCGAGATCCCGCAGAGGTCGGTGCAGTGCTGAAACTTCTGACGTGGCAGCTTCTTGGTCAAGAAGTCTGCTGCCATGTCACCAGTTGGGCAGTATGTGAGTTTGACCTTCCCTTTGTCGATTTCGTCTTTGACGAAGAAGTAACGGAGTGCGATGTGTTTCGTGCGGTTCACGAAGCCGGGCTTGTTCGCGATTTTGATCGCGCTCTGGTTGTCGCAGAGTAACGTGAAGTGCCCGTTCATCGTCACTTTCGCTTCCTGCAGGAGCTCCATTAGGTACAGTCCTTCGCGAACAGCAGCGCTGGCATCGATGAACTCAGCTTCGGCTGACGAAAGGGCGATGAGTTCCTGCTTCTGAGATTTCCAAGAGATGAGCCCAGCAGGTTGAAGTTGAAAAATGAATCCTGTGCGAGAGCGTCTGTTATCAATTTCTCTTGCGTGGTCTGCGTCTACCTAGCCATGGAGCTGCAGGGTAGCAGTTAGGTTAGCTTCGTAGATGAGGCCGACGTAGAGACAGAGCATTGAAGTGCTCGGCGTAGATCCAGTAAATTCTCCCCTTCAGGTCGCTTCAGGTATTGTGCGACGTAGGAGAGATTGGGCCGGCACATGACAGCGGCGATCAGGAGACACCCCAGCTGCTGTTGATAGAGCCGATGATCGCCGATGGAGAGCGGTGTGGTATCTGGTTCGTGATTAGGAGGAGGAGTGCGGTAGGGAGTGGTGAGATTGATCGGCGCGACAGCGAATTTATTCGCGAGTGTTTCCGCATACTTGGCGGCGGAAAGGTGAATGTAGGTGGCGGACTAAGTGATGTTGAGGCCCGGGAATTGCGTGACGTTGTGGTTGATTGTCACTTCTAGCTTCTCTTTAATGTCTGCCTCAAACTGGTTCAGCAGCTCCGTGTCGTCGCCGATGTAGAGTAGATCGTCGTCGTAGGCGACAAGAAGGATGAACTTGCCACGCGACTCCTTCCGGTACATCCCAAGGTCATGCGGTAGTTGTTGAATCCGAGCTCAGTGAGGACGGTGTGCAGGTACTGCTGCCATAGTCGGGGCGCCTGTTTAATCCCATAGAGGGATTTTTTAAGAAGGCAGAAGGCGCCGTCGCGTTCTTCGAAGGCATGCGGCTGATCGACGAAGATGATGGCGTCGACAGGAGCGTACAAAGATGCACTGCCGATGTCGATTTGACGGAGTGGCCGTTGTTTGACGGCTGCGATGCAGATGAGGATGCGAATCGAGGTGTGTCGTCCGATAGGCGCGTAGGTGAGGTCGAAGTCCACCATGTGAGTTTGCTCGAACCCGCGCACCACCCATCTTGCCTTGTATTTGTCAATGGAGCCATCCGCGAGTGTTTTGATGCGGAAAACCCATTTTCCACTGAGAATTTTTCTCCCCTTTGCCGATGATCGTGGAACCAATTTCCACGTTCCGCGGCTCTTCAGTGCTGCGACTTCTATGGCCATGGCTGCCTTCCATTTTTCACTGTCGGGGCCATACGAGGCCTGGCAAACGGTGGTGGGTTCCTTGGGGGAGGTGTGGTGAACAGCTACGGCGAGCCCAAGGATGCGAAGACCAGTTTCGTTGATCTTTTCGTAGTGAAGGCGGTCGTAGTCGTGGAAGCTGGTTACTTCGATGACGTCGTCGTCACTGTCGTTGCCGAGGCGGAGGGTGTCTTGCGAGGTGTTCGTGTCAGAATGTTATAGTCCTTACATTTGTGTAGGCTATAGTGGGGTAGCCCATAAGGGGTACAACCCAATTAGGGTTAGTACTTGTACCCAACTCTTTCATAGTTCATTCCATTCTCGTTCATTCTCTTGATATGGTTTCAGAGCAGGTCCTCCACTAGGACCCGTTTTTTTTTCCTTGGGCCCACCACTGCACTGCCCTTAGCGACCCTCGTGTCGCCCCTTGGCCCGTCGCCCCTAGGCCCGTTGCCCCTAGCTCGGCCCGTAGGCCCTAGCAAGCGCGCCCCTAGCCCGGCCCGTCGCCTCTAGCCCGGCCCGTCGTTCCTAGCCTACGCGTCCGACCCGTCGCCCCTAGCCTACGCGCGCCCGGCTTGTCGCCCCTAGCCTACGCGCCCGGCCTGTCGCCCCTAGCCATCGCGCGCCCGGCCCGTCGCCCCTAGCCTACGCGTGCCCGGCCCGTCACCCCTAGCTATGTGCCCAGCCCATCGCCCCTAGCCTACGCGTGCCCGGCCCGTCGCCCCTAGCCAAAGCGCCCGGCCCGTCTCTCCTGTCCCCGCGGCCCGGCCCGTCGCCCCTAGCCATCGCGCGCCCAGGCCTGTCGCCCCTCGCCCGCGCGCCCCGGCCCCTCTCTCTCGGCCTCGCGGCCAGTCGGCCTTAGGCCCCCGGGCCCATTGCCCCTAGGCCCCATGGCCCGTCGCCCCTAGGCCTCTGGCCCGTCGCCCCTAGGCCCCGCGGCCCATTGCCCCTAGCCCCCCCCCCCCCCCCCCCCCCCTCCGGCCCGTTTCTCCTAGGTCCCGCGGCCTGTCGCCCCTAGCCAGCGAGCCCCAGCCCGTAGCCCCTCGCCCGCTCGCCCCGGCCTGTCACCTAGGTCCGTCGCCCCTGGCCCCACGGCCCCCCCTCGCTCTCGGCCCCACGGCCCGTTGCCCCTAGGCCTCCGGCCCGTCACCCCTTGGCCCCGGGGCCTGTTGCTCATGGCCCCCCCAGGCCCGTAGCCCCTGGCCCCGACACGTCGCCCCGCAGTCGCCCCTAGGCCCTCGAGCCGCCCCTCCTGCAACCTGCTGCATGCCCTGTTCCCCGCGCTGCTAGGCCTCTGCCCGCCCTGCGTGCTGCGCCACTATGGCTTCTCTCCGCGTGCTCGCGTTTGATCAAGAGGGACGCCCCCTGCAGTTTGACACATGGCTCGACGACCTGCAGCTGTACCTGCTGAGCGACTCTAGGGACAGTGTTTCGTTGTTTGACCACACGTCTGGCGCCGCTCCCGCCCCTCCAGCCACAGCTGACAGTGCGACTCGTTCACAGTGGCTGACTCGCGACGCTGCTTCCCGCTTAGCCATTCGCAACC